CTCTCTCTCTCTCTCTCTCTCTCTCTCTCTCTCTCTCTCTCTCTCTCACACACACACACACACACACACACACACACACACACACACAGAAATCACAGTATGCAATAATTATTTATTTTATTGCAATTAAATTTTTTAATACAGTATATTCTGCCTATGGATCTCTCTCAACTCTTCCCAGATTTGCCTATTTCTCATCCTACCCAAATCATACCTTTTCTTTCTGTCTCTCATTATATTTCAAACAGGCATGTGATAATAATAATAATAAAATAATAATAATAATAAGTAAAAGCTAATAAACTAGAATAAAACAACACAGAAGAAAAAGAGACAAAGAAATAGTTCAAGAAATACACATTGAAAAAGAGACATATTGAAAGCTCTTAGAAACACAAAACCAGAAATTATAATAAATATATAATGATCTATGACGGGGAAAAGCCCTGACATAGCATTATGAGACAAAGAACCTCCAAAAAAGTCTACTGAGTTTGTTTTGTTTTGTTCTGATCTTACAAGTGGTCTGTATACTCAGTTAGACTCCACTGGAGAGAGCTAAGATTTCCTTCATGTGCAGTTATCAATTGGATATTGGTCTGGGTGAAGGATGTGGTCTTCCCATTGCCCCTCTCAGCTTTACGAGCCCATCTGTGCATTCTGTCAGTCTCTGGAAGCTCATCTGTGCATGGATGCTGCTGTTTGTGATGTAGATAACAGAAAAAGTTATATGTTTTTGAAAAAGAGGCATGTAGACACTCTCTGTCCCTTCTTTGCAATTCTGAAAAATTAAGACAGCTCTAAAACATAATGTCTTTAATTAAAAAATGGATCATTGAAACTGATGCAGAGGCTGCCATGCAGTGAGCTGGAAGCAGTCCACTGCAGACAATAATACCCCGCGCAGCGAAGAAATCCTTCCTAGAAAAGTGACGAAATAACAAGTCTTCACAGAAATGGCATTTGTCTTTAAATACAGGTAAGCTGTGTGTCAATGTGGGTGAACAAGCAAGTTCAGAATAGCATCACATGACTGACATAACCATGTTGAGGGAATGATGTCATATTTGGCAACCCAAAGAGAAACTACAACAAGTGATTCTAAGTACTAGCTCTCCAATACCAGACTCGAGAAATACATCATGCCTAAAGTCAATTTAGAGTTTATTATTTTGATGTTGCTGATGTCTTATTTTAATGTCAGAACAGGCTACAGTGCTTGATTATCATACACACACCACACACACACACACACACACACACACACACACACACATATTTGATGTGAAGTCCCCTCTGTGTGCTGTGATTACCATTAATGAATAAAGAAACTGCCTTGGCCTGTTGATAGGGCAGAACTTAGGTAGGCTGGGAGGACTGGACTGAATGCTGGGAGAAAGAATGGTGAAGTTAAGAGACGCGATGGAGCCTCCACTGCTGGACATAGACATGCTGAAACTTTACTGGTAGGCTACAACCTCATGGTGATGCACTGATTAACTGAGATGGTTAAATTAAAATGTAAGAGTTAGTCAATAAGAAGTTAGAGCTAATGGACCAAGCAGTGATTAATTAATACACTTTTCTGTGTTTTTATTTTGGTTCTGGGCAGACAGGACAAACAAGCGGCTACTTCCTAAATATATTTCTTATCGTATATACATTTTAAATAATTTTAAAAGAGATTATTAAATTATGGATGTGACAAAGATGACATAATGTTTGCTATTTTATATAAAAGCCATAATTAAATGAAGGCGATGTTGCTCTAACTTCCAATGCTTTGTGTATTATAGTAAAAATCATAACATACAATACGAATTAGCTATATATTAAAATATACACAAATAATAATATCCAGAAATTAAATATATATATTTCTTATTCAAACAGGACTTTACAGGCTAGAAACTCAGGAGTAAAACATTTTTCCATGTTAACAAAATAATTCAAAGAAAAGTAGGGTTGATTTCCAAAACACTTACTCTATCTACATCATTTGTCTGACGTTTAGCCACATGACAGTCACTTGGAGTAATAAATTTGTGAATAAAAATTAAGTTTGGGTGGCCATGGTCCTGCCTAAACTGTGTGAACTATTTTATTGTGGAAGAAGATAAATACTATTTGTTCAGAGAGCTGGTCTTTACATTACAGTAAGAATTATTTAAAAATTATCACGTATCAGTTTTAAAATTGCCAGCACTGAACCTTAGCATACTAAATTCACTAAAGGAACTTTAGGGAGATGTAGCATGAAATATTCTTTCATCAGGTAAAGGAAACCTCACAAAGTGACAGTGAAGAAAG